TGGAAACGGCATGCTGTACTGCTTGGCATTTCACCAGAAGCATCAAATATGAACATTTTAGAGTGTTTGGGTGTCCATCTAAGAAGAGTGCAGAGGATTCAGAAAGAGTTAAATGAGACTAATGGTGATTACTAAGGTACAGTAGCTCGGAAAACTCCCAAATTTGTTGGTGAAGGCCTCAGATTCAACATGGAGGTCTACATCAAATGCCTTGAAGAGGTAGTGCTGCCCTGGGTTAAGAGGGTGGTTGCTGGAAGACCTACACAAGCAGGAGACCCCAGTCATGGTTATCAGATAATTCCTGCAACGACATCACCCACTTACATCTGGCCATCTAACTCCCCAGACTGCAACTTGCTTGATTAGTATGTGTGGGGTGCAGTTGATAGAGAGGCCAACAAAATGCCTTGTAACACCAAAGATGAACTGAAGGCAAGGATTATGGAAGCATTCACCAGGTTAACCAAGGAGACCATCCAGAAGAGTTGCAGGATATTCTGAAGTCATCTAGAGGCTGTGGCTGAAGCCAATGGCAATTTTATCAAATAAATTTACTTTAGTATTTCAAGACATTTTTGTTTGATTTTGGTCAATATATCTGTTAAAATGAGATGTCAGTGTTATTTTCATTTTTGCATAATTTAGATGACAATTTATATATGTATATGCATATAAGTAATTCCAAAAATGTCTTTTGTAATTAAATTGCAATTAATATGGCTTTTCTCCATATTCTTCATGCAATGTTTTGCTTTTTACTTTATATAAATTTGAGTCAGAAAGAAAAATTCCTTTAATGAAAATATTTCTAAAATTCACAAATTTTGCGAGGGTCTTATTAATTTCAGATTTAACTGTATATCTAAGTATGTGACAGGGATGCTTGACTTATTTTGACAAGTATCTTCATTTTTGTTGTGTCTATCCTAATGTCTCAGCATCTAGTAATCCTTAAACATTTTTTCAATGATTTTTAACCTTTCAAAAATTGGAACAGATATCTTAAAACAAACAAGATCCCACAAACAAATTATTGTTTTCTCTTCAGAATTTCAAATAATTATTTCAACAGAGCCATTGTATTTTCTTGTTCTTTATTGCACTATATGTAAAACTCACTTGAAATTTAGATATTCATTCATCAGTTCAAACCTAAGATATGTCAATGTCATTGTTCATTTACAATGCAAAATTCTGATCTCCTCCTAAATCAGATAAAAAAAAAAAAGCTCAAATTTAAACAAAATCGATGAGTCAGATGCACCAAGACACCTATGCTGGTTTGGTTGAACAAAATTAAGTACCAGACTAACTACAGATCATGTATGACATAAAACATTTGATACTTTCATTTCCCCCCCAAGCAAGACAATAAAGCCACTAAAATGCAAGGGGGTTACTAAGTGTTAGAGAATATGAAAAAAAAAAAAAAAACACTATTAAGTATGGAGAACAATAAAAGAACAAGAATTAAGAATGCAGAAGATAATGATTGACATTGAATTTAAATTTATGGAGATCAAACTTCACTAGGAAGCAAGACGGAGGACAATTCCAGAAGTGAGAAATGCAATAGAATAAACTGTTAGCATAGAACTTATGATTATATCTATCAATTTTGACTGTAAAATGATGAGACCTTGCTGCCAATCTAGTACAGAGCTTAAATTCATAAATTCTAGTTACTAGAGGAAAGTTCATGAGGACAATTACCATGAAAGTATTTATAGAAAAGGCACAGAGTAACTATGTTATAGTGGTGGGAAAGTGACTGAAGTCGAGATGCTAGGTCAGGACCAATAACATTGCAGATTCTTCTTTAGATTTTATCAAGAATATCTAAATATATAGCAAAAGCTCCAAACCAGATGTGGCAGCAATATTCAAAGCAAGGGTAAATGGTAGGCTTATAAATATGTAAGATAAATTCTGGCAAGAAAAATTGTCAACCTCGACACAGTGAACTAACTTCTCTAGCTACAGACCTTCAAGATAATCATTCCATTTCATGTCAGTGAAAAATGTTATCTGAGAAGGCACAATAAGTCACTCACCTGGAGGTTAGCATCAGCCATGTTGATGGAAGGGAAAATGGGATCTCTCAGATGATAAAAAGAGAGCAGTTTTGTTTTGGAGATGTTAAAATTTCACGAGCAATTCTCTGCCCCAGTTAACAAATTGTGGATCAATTTTTTTTAGATCAGATTCCAATTTGACTGTATCAAACCAATCAGACTATTAAGACAGGAGTAAATAGTTGTGTCATTAGCATAGATACAGAGTTGAGAAGTGATGCCATCCAAAGGTCACTGATGAAAAGTAAGAACAAAGTAGGCCCAAGAATAGAGCCCTGGGGAACACTTGCATTAGTGCAAAAAGATCTAGAAAAGTGGCCATTCTAGATAATTTTCATTTGATGATTTGATAAGAAAGACTGAATCCATTCAAAAATTTAATAGCATAACCTTTCAACTTGTTTATTTATTTATTTTAATAATGCTTAATTTTAGTGCAAGGTCACAAGTAGAGGGGGCATCAATATTCTAAATAAATCCCACTTCTGAATTTAAAGGACCAGATTTGTGCCTACTCTTCTATTCACGTGTATGTCGACTATAGGAATTTGAACATAAATATTCGTAAATATTTTTGTTTGTAAAATTAAAAAATACTCCACGGCCTCGGTACACATGTACCCACAAATATTCAATACGTCTGTAAGGAAGCAGATGCTGATGTGAGCCGAGCGTGGTAACATCGTGGAAATGTTTTTAATTTTGAGTTCGACAAGATTACGTTCAATTTAATGGTACTTTTTTAAGTTTCGAAATTTAGTTTTCTAACAATGAATTTGAAAGTTATAAATACAAGGTAAATAAATAATAATTTTATTTTTAATTTAAAGAATGCGATAAAATCATTTTTTTAAAATTTTAATAATTATTTTTTTTAATTAAAAAGTGTTTTAGTTTAAAAAAAATGTTCATTTTATTTTTGGATTAACAAAAAAAAAAAAAGAAAAAAAGTTAAATAAAATAAAAAAATGAATAGGTTCCTTTTTTTATTCCGAGGAAAATTATAAATTGTTTTTTTTATTCCAGAAAATTCTTGTTTTAAAATTCATCTTTACAACATTTTCTGCCATTTCAGATGCTATTTAATTTTATTCATAATTTAACCAATTATCAGATCATATATATTGTATTAAAAATAAAAAATGCATTATTCTTTTTCTCTAATCTACTTAAAATAAAAATAAATCAATAAAAATAATGTTTTTCAGTTACTTAACCTTCTTCGATATCATCAACCAAACATTGGTTTCCTTCCATTCAAAAAAGGTAAAAACCTAGCTGCAAATTTATTGAAATCATTTTCTTTATAAAATGGGTGGTGAAAAGTTATAATAATTAATACTCTACACTAACATTTGACTTGAGTCAATAAAAAACTATTTTAAATGCTTTTTGTCTAATAAATAATCACGTTTTAGTTAGGTTTTCTCATTAAAAAAAAAATAAGTAAAATAAAATCAAAAGAACTAAAAATTCACATGCTGAATTGAAGAATATAGTTTTTAAAAATAAGAAAATACGAATTAAAATACTGGTTAAGAAGTGGGAAAAAAGTCAAATAATATCTATTTTCAAATAATTGCTTCTTACTGTTTTTTAATTGCACATGGGGAAAAGTTTGGTTAAGTTTCAGAGTTTTTCCCTCCACACAGAAAATTTTTTCGTGAATAATTTTTTATCAATATTTTTATCCTTTACGCGAAAATTGGTTAAGCAAATTTATTTATTAAATTTCATATAAAATCGAGTCTTGATTGAACATCAAGCCCGGTAGTGGTATGTGTACTACATTTTGATTTTGGGAGATTTTATAAACACAGAAAACAAGTTTAATTTTTTTTTTCTTCTCCATGTGTCGATGAATTAAATTGAGAAAACACTCATTCCGACTACAAATTGACTGTTTATTTTTGAGAACGTTAACGAAAAACTTTAGTTTCCGAGGTGTATGGTAACGAACATTGAGTCTATTTGGTGTAGAGACTTTAAGAAATTGACATTAATTGAATCGAATAATTAATCAAAGTCGGAAGTGTTTAGTTTATTTTTTTCTTAAAAACAGTACGATTAGATGCTGAAAAGTTCTCGGCTCGAGCGAAGAAAAGCGTTTGGTCTTTTTTCGTTCAGATTATAGGAACTATGTAGAGTTGAGGACTTCTCACCATACCTCATAATAAAATAAAATCTACCCCAGCACCTTTGTTCAGTACACCTGAACATATCTCAAATTTTCCCTAATTACAACAAATACATTTTGAACAGATTTTTTCTTTACCAGTAAGTAATCGCGAATCGAACACACAGAAAACGAAGGGCTTGTTTGTCCCAGGTATAAGAAAAAAAAAATCAGTCAATAGATTTTTTGTAATTTCGTTAGAGAAGATTAAGAAATTTATAGAACAGGTATGGATACAAGAACAAAGACCTATTCCCTTTCCATAGCCTAGATACCCACTCCTAAGTCGTTTAACAACGTTGTTTTAATGAAAGGATCTGTGCCATGAAAGAAAGAACCGTTTTTTTTTTTCAGACAAGCTACATAACCTAGTGCCCTACTTAGAAATAGCAGTTCTTTCTTGACTAAAGCATCTGTAGTAACGAGCGTTATCGACCCTATCACAAAAGTTAACCCGTAGCCGATCCTACGATTTGCCACTCTGCAAAAATATAAAGAAAAGACGTGTCCTCGATTTTATAAACGGAAGAAACTTATGCGTAGTTATCTGCCCTTGGATATTAGTTCTTGTTCTCTCTTTATAAAAGAGTGAGCGAGTGAGGGGAGTGGTACGGAGTTACCTGCTCTTGATTAGTGCCGCTCTTTATTGACGTGTGCCCAGTGCGCCTGCGCTGCCGAGAGAGAAGCACCAGCCATTATTAACGGGAGTGTGTAACACAAGAACCTTTCCCCTTCTGGTCTTTTGTTCAATGGCCCAAGACCAATCTTCGCTTTTGCTGAAAAAGCAGCTCAATGGTGAGTCTCGATGCACATCTGAAGGATCTTTCTTGCCTTGTTCAAGAATCTGAAATGGAGAAAAATATTTTTTTATAAACCATATCCGCCTTTTTAAAAGCGACGTTGTGTTTCTCTCTTATGTACAAACACGAGTTAATTCGTTGGCCGTTAACTTTCAAAAGGGCGTTTATTTTCGCCTTCGTAATATTTTCATTCTCTTTGTTTTTATTGTATTAAAATCTTTAACTCCAAAGATTGCTTAAGAAAGTTTCTTTTAAAACAAGTCGTTCGTTGTGCTTTAACTAATGATGGTGGTAGTAGTAGTAGTATTAACAGTGGTGGTGGTCTTCCCTGCCCGCTCCATCTTGTTATTCTTCCCTTTATTCGTCTCTCCTCACTCTTAAACGACGGGAGCCTTCTTTTTTTTCCCCCCCTTTTCATTTATTTATTCTTTATTTTTCCTGACGTTACTTCTCTCTCCCCGCCACCGTCTCTTATCGTCAAACAAGCGACTTTTTTTTTTCTTAAACATCTTTTCTTATTAAAAGAAAAAACATGAGGTAGACCCGCTAAAATAAACATCTTAAACAATGTGCTACAATGATCAAATCTACTTTCGCTTAGTTTTTTTTTTTTTTTTTTTTTATAAAGTAATAGCAAACCTTCGCAATGTGAATTTCCCTATTTTATTTTGATGTATATTTTTACATATTATACCTGATTTACACCTTCAATCGTAACCTTTTTTCTTCCCATAATGTTTTGTTCAATCTCTACAAAAAGTTTTTTAATTTCCCAAATGTTTTTTTTTTTTTTTTTTTTTTCCCTGTATCTCTAAAACTCGGGTTCTTTTATCTTTTTAATTTCTAGTGGCAACATTAACCAACTGTCAATTGAAAAAATAAAAAAAACTAGTATTTACTAACTAGTGCTAATAAAGCAATACTATTGATAAAATGCTAAAAAATAAAACTAGTTTTTTTTTTTATTTTTATTTTTTTTTTAAAAAAAAAAGCTATTAAAATTTAAAACAATCCTACGTTCCTTTTTTTTTTTTTTTTTTTTTTTAACACTTAACGTATGTTGTTGATACTTTTTTTTTTTTTTTTTTAACACTTAATTGATATAAATTTCAACTTTAGTGTTGAAATGAGTTGTGTTTCAAATATCACTATTTCTTTGTTCTTGTTTTGTTTCATAAACCAGGAACTAAATATTGTCTTTGGAAAAGTGCCAGTCTCTTGACTGATGAGGAAGCATTGCGTTTCTCTCGTGGTAATAACGGAATCATGTTTTAGTTTTCACTTCTATTTTATTTACAGATCTTTTTAAATCGTGTTATTTTGACAAATGAATTTAGCCCTTTTTATTTTTACGCTTAATTAATGACTGACTGACTTGTAAATTGTCCGCAGTATTGATCTCTATTGCGTGCCATGAGGTGATCATAGCAACTCACAAGTGTAAATTTTACTCAACTAATTTGTTTTTAATCTAAAAATTATTGCTCCAATGGATTTTTTTTAAACTCTTCGGTCAGAATAAGTCGTTTTCGTCTGTAAGTATTCGCTTATTCGTGTCTTCGAAATTTAAATTACAGAAAAGTTCAACACTTTCCTCTATTTTATTATTGCCAGTAAGTATGGCGATTAAATTGAAACACAGTTTTTTTTTTGGTTTTTTTTTTTGTTCCTAATTGCAACATTTCAGTCCCTTCTTTGCCAACATAGGATGACTAACGAATTGGTTACAAAAAAAATCTAATGGCTGGTGATGGTCGCACTGGATAAGTATTTTTTTTTTTTTTTTTACCCTCACTCACAAGTGTGGTCGGCAGGATTTGCTCAAATTTTAAGGCCTACTCTGTATCAAAATCCTTTTGAACAGAAATTTGTTTATATACTACCAAATAGATAATCTGTTCAATCTGATTTTAAGAGCTGTCTTTTTTTTTTTTTTTAATCGATGTCATTGAAAAATTTTTTTTTTTTTTTTTTTTTTGTACCCTGTTGGAAATTGCAATTTTGAAACCGAGTCACTTTGAGTCATAAAATATTGGCGTTCTTTGCATAAGGTTTTTCTTTTCATAAGGGACAAATCTTGTAAAAGATGAATTTAAAGTTATTTTATTTACCAAGATTCAGTTTTGAAAGACTACTGATGTCTTTCTGGTTGAGGCTCAAATGAATCTTTGACATCTTGTTTCATCTAAAGGACGTTGTCTTTCAACTTTTGTTAGTAAGCTGCAGTTATCAGAATAATGAACTTAAGCTTTTTAAATTACCTCTTAGTAATCCAGAGTTGGAGACAAAACTTGGAAAATTGCATTCAATTTGAATTGACATTTGTCTCACTTTAAATAAGTTGGCTTTGCTAGTATTCCTTCAGGTCGTGCATTAGTTTGGAGTATTTGGCTTTTTTCCACAGCTACTGCTACAGACTGCCGATATTATTGATGATTCTTGTATGGACAAATCTTCATCTTTGGATTTGGCTCTTTTAGCAGTGAAAATCTTAAATAGTATCTGATTCAATCTTGTTGCTCATCTTCAAATTGAAAGTATAGATGAATCTGTTGTCACAGAAGGCTGTTCACTTGTATCCTGTGCAGCAGAATTGATTATCTCTTCTCTCAGGGCCTTCTTTCAAATGGGCAATATGGTTTTCACTTCTGTCAACTGCTGATATATTAAGTTATTTCTAAAATAATTTATCAAGCTTTAGATAAGAATGCTGAAGCTTGGGCTGTTGCTTTGGATATCTCAAGTTTAGGCATATTGGTATTCTTCACAAGTTGAAACGTTGTGGTATTTCTGGACAGATTTTTGATCTGATTCAATCTTAACAAATGACAAAATTAAAGTCGTCTTGAGCAATGACTGTTCTTGATTTTTTTTTTTTTTTTTTTTTTTTTTTTTTTTTTTGCATTAATGCAGAGGTGTGGGTCCATGTGTCCCTCCAGGGATTTATCCTTGGACCTATGTTCCTGATGTGATCAGTTCTCAACTCAGTATTTTTGATGACAAACCTAATGGTAAGTTTGATCTGTTTGGTAGTTGATCTCAAACATGACCTACAATCTGTTAACTGAAGCAAGAAATGGTCTGTTAAATTTAATACCTCCAAAATGCTCACTTTTAATTGTCTTAATGAATCTTTTTTTTGCCTTCAGTCATTATGGCTGATGCTAACCTCCTGGAGAGTGATTCCTCAGTCTGTTTTCTGCTGGCCTGAAGTGGAAAGATTATATTGAATAAATTGCTAGCTCAGCTTCTAGTAAAGTTGATTCATACTACAGAATTTTTTTTGTCAGAATTTATCCTGCACATTTATAAGTCTACTATACATCCATGTGTTGAATATTACTCTCACATCTCGTCTGGTGCTTCTATGTATTTAGAGATACTTGATAAAATCCAAAGAATCTGCAATGTTATCGGTACAGACCTAGCCTCTCTGCTTCACTTTCCCACTGCCATAACATAGCTTCCATGTCTATTCTATAAATATTTTCATGGTCATTGATCTAATGAGCTTTCCTTTTTGGTACCTAGACTTTATGAATTTAACCATGGTACTAGATTGGCAGCTAGGTCTCATCTTACAATTGAAATGGCTAGATGTAAGTCCTATACCAACAGTTTCTTCTCTTGCTCTCCTAGCTTATTGCTTTTCACTCAACTTTGCATTTTGATTTTTGAAGATCGTCTATTGTCTTCTGACTTAATTCATGTTTCTTTATTGTTCTCTTTAACAATGTTTCTTTTTCTCAATGTCTCTTGCTCATTAATTTCTTGTCTTAGTGATTTTATTGCCTTGCTGAGATGAAATAATTTTAAAAAAATTAAGATTTTGCTTTTAAGAATTAAAAATATTGAACTTGTAGTTTTTGTTGATTCAGTACATTTCTTTATTTCATAAAATCAGAAATTTTTACAGGGGAAAGTATACACATGGATTTGACAACCAGAAAAGAATTTTGAAAGAAAAATACTAGACATTTGTCAATCTCTGTTGTATAATTGGAGACTGAATATTAGGACTAATTTTTCACAATACAAGATTTTGTTATAAAGAGATTTTGAATTCGCTTTTCTCTTCTAATATCAAGTTGAGAAAATGAATCTGAAGCATACATTTTTAAAGTCTTATTTAAATCTGATCATAGAAAGTTAAGATTTGAAGGCAGAAATTGGTTTATGGCTCAAGTCCATGACAATTGGTGGGGTGTCCTAAATACTTTCAGATAAGAGTTGTGTGTGTGTATATATATATATATATATATATATATATATATATATATATTTTTTTTTTTTTTTTTTTTTTTTTTTTAAATAGGTTATTTTATTTTCTAGAGATGTTTGTTAAGGCAATGAGAAAAATGGTTTCTTTGAAACCAGCTCTCTGCAACACAAGGTATAATTTGTACTGAAATTGGGAGAGAGGGGTCCTGTAAATGCATTTTTTTTTCTTTTTCTTTTTTTAAATTTTTAGCATGCACATTTTTTTCTAACAGGGTTAAATTGCCTGAAGATAATCTTTGTGGTCCTATTTTATTGGTTGTGATGTTGGTTGCCAGCTAAGTGTAGCTACTTCACCAGAGTTGATCAATATTTTTCATCATTAAAACATCTTATTGATATTTGAGCATGACATTTCTTTTTGATGAGGTGAAAGATGGGTTAAAATCTTTTTTTTTTTTTTTTTTTTTTTTTTTTTTGCCCTTGGCTAAGGAATAAATGAGCATATCTTGTTGCAACACTTAATTTTCTTAGTGAACTTTCAAATAGATATCTGCTGTAAATCTACCCCCCCCTCCAAACCTTCAAAATCTTTTAAATGGATTTATCAAATAGGACATTTGCATTAAAAATGTTTTTTTTTCTTTTTAGTGAGTTAGGAATGCTATACCAAAAATTCAAATCTTTTTGTAGATATGTTCCAATTGAGAGAATTAAAAATTTAATTTGATTTACAATAATAAAAACTCAGATAAAAACTTAAGTTTTCATAAGGAC